AGGGTCAAATAGTTTCTCTAGTTTGTCATCTTTGCAAGCTGAATCTGAGGACATATTTGTTGAGTTCCTATCCCAAAATAATCTTTCCAGGTTTGCATCAAAGAAGAAAAGGATACTGTCTTTCCTTCAGCTTAGCTTGTTAAGCAAAAATCTACCAATGAATAAGGAGGTCTGCCAACTCCCAGAACTGAGGGGTGGCTGCCCAGGGACATCTACATCATCACACCAAGGCCTGCCGGAAAGTCTAACTTTGACTTCTGTTCTGAAGAAAAAGTCCTCTTTGCTGAATTCTTTTGTAAAGTAGGTAAAGACAAGACACAGAGGCAGTTCTGGCTGCCTGTGGCATTTTGCAGCTTCTAGCTTGAAATAAGCTTTAAGTCTCTTCTCTTCATTTTGCTTTAGGAACAGGATGAACTGCTTGGCATTTAATTGCTTTTTTATTAAATATACAGTTCCTTGGAATTTTATTCCACAGGTACTAAGTAACCTTTGGACTTGTGATTTAACCAGGAGAATAAATCAAAATGAGGTCATGTGAAAATTCTCTTGTCAGCATGATTAGTGGAAATGTGGGAAGGAAGAAAGTCTGTGGACTCCCTGCCTCCTCCCAGAGTCCCTCCCAGCACCCGAGGGGTTGAGATAACTGGTCCTCACACACCCTCCTTGTTTTCCCATGTGGAAGAGGCAGGTGCAAGGCTGTCACCATGCTGACTTCTGGGTTTTACCTCACAGATGAATAATTGCCCATACTTACAATTAGATTTTAAAAAGCGTGTGTGTGGAAAAGGACCTCAGCAAATTAAACAAGACTAAAATTGCATCAACCAGCTCCTCAGACCACAAAGGTATGAAATTAGAAATAAATTACCCCAAGAAAATGAAAAATACCACAAACACATGGAGGCTTAACAACATGTTCCTAAAAACCAATGGATCAATGACCAAATAAGAACAGAGATAAAGCAATATACGGGGACAAATGACAACAATAATTCAACCCTGCAAAATCTGTGGGATGCAGTGAAGGCTGTGCTAAGAGGAAAATATATTGCAATACAAGCCTACCTAAGGAAAGAAGAACAATCACATGTGAACAGTCTAAACTCACAATTAATGAAACTACAAAAAGAAGAATGAATGAGGGCCAAAGTCAGTAGAAGGAGGGACATAATAAAGATTAGAGCAGAAATAACTAAAATTGAGAAGAATAAAACAATAGAAAGAATCCATGAAAGCAGGAGCTAGTTCTTTGAGAAAATAAACAAAATAGCTAAACACCTAGCCAGACTTATCAAGAAAAAAAGAGAGTCTACTCACATAGACAGAATCAGAAATGAGAAAGGAAAAATCACTATGGACACCACAGAAATACAAATAATTATTAGAGAATACTATGAAAAATTATATGCTAACAAATAACCTAGAAGAAATGGAAAACTTTATTGAAAAAAACAACCTTCCAAGGCTGACCCAGGAATAGAAAAATCTGAACAGACCAATTACCAGCAATGAAACTGAATTGGTAATAAAAAAACTACCTAAGAACAAAATTCCTGGACCAGATGGCTTCACCACTGAATTTTATCAAACATTTAGTGAAGACCTAATACCATCCTCCTTAGTTTTCTAAAGAGTAGAAGAGGAGGGAATACTCCCAAACTCATTCTATAAGGCCAGCATCACTCTAATACCAAAACCAGCCAAAGACACCACAAAAAAAGAAAATTACAGACCAATATCCCTGATGAACATAGATGCAAAAATACTCAACAAAATATTAGCAAACCAAATTCAAAAATACATTAAAAAAATCATCCATCATGATCAAGTTGGATTTATTCCAGGGATGCAAGGATGGTACAACATTAGAAAATCCATTAACATCATCTGCCACATCAACAAAAAGAAGGACAAAACCACATGATCATGTCCATAGATGCTGAAAAAGCATTCGTCAAAATTCAACATCCATTCATGATAAAAACTCTCAAGAAAATGGGTATAGAGGGCAAGTACCTCAACATAATAAAGGCCATTTATGATAAACCCACAGCTAACATCATACTGAACAGTGAAAAGCTGAAAGCTTTTACTTTAAGATCAGGAACAAGATAAGGATGCCCACTCTCTCTACTTTTATTCAACATAGGCCGTGGTTAGGAGGTCCTAGCCATGGCAACCAGACAACACAAAGAAATAAAAGGCATCCAGATTGGCAAGGAAGAAGTTAAACTGTCCCTGTTTGCAGATGACATGATATTGTACATGAAAAACCCTAAAGACTCCACTCCAAAACTACTAGATCTAATATCTGAATTCACCAAAGTTGCAGAATACAAAATTAATACACAGAAATCTGTTGCTTTCCTACACACTAATGATGAACTAACAGAAAGAGAACTCAGGAAAATAATTCCATTCACAACTGCATCAAAAAGAATAAAATACCTAGGAATAAACCTAACCAAGGAAGTGAAAGACCAATACCCTGAAAACT